TGAAAACCAACTTTACCATTCCATCACCACATTTGCAGAACCAAAGAACATATTTTATTCAAGTGATTGTGTAAAGCACCAAGCACAGGCAAAAAATTAAAAATGTAAGTTCGAACAAGGCTGTGTTGGATAGGGGGCTATTTTTGCAAGGGGGAACAATATAATACAGGACACATATTTTACAAGATTATTTATAATAATCACCCAAAGAATACCATACAAAAGAGTGCAGGAAATCTGTCCACACACCAAGAGCAAGGAAATCAGCCAAGGGCCTAGATCCCACAAAAATGTCCCACATGAGTCCAGCTGAAGACCCAGAGCTCATAACAGTGCCTCCCACAAGTCCAACTGGAGGCCCAGAGCCCACAACAATATCTCATGCAGGCCTGTTTCATGGATCTGTGCTGTGAAGGCCCAAAGGTCATTGGTGGAATCCAGGAAGTCTGTGCCAGACAGATGAAGGATCTGTGCTAGCAGGCTGAGGGATCTGCACTGGAGCCAGGAAGCAATGGGCAAAGTAAGAACCAGAGCTTCCCCTAAAAGTACCACAGCCATCCTCAGCAACAGTGAGCTCCTGAGCTCCTCCGATTATTAAGATGGCTGAGTTCCTGATAGGAAAGTTAATGCAGCAAGCTTCTCCTGGAGACCAGCAGTGCACCATCTTCCCCTCCGGAGCCAGGAAGTGATGCTCCAAGTGAGGACCAGAGCTCCCCCAAAGTGAACCCAAGCCATTCTCAGTGCAAACAAGGTCCTGAGCTCCTCAGAGGATGAAAACAGCTGAGTTCATCAGGAAAGCCAGCACAAGATTCTCCAACAGAACCAAGAGCTCCTTCCAGCGTCCACCAGCTCCAACAGCCTTTCTCTGCTCCCAACAGCCTTTTTCCACTCCCAACAGCCTTTCTTCTCCTTTTCCAGTTCTGCCTCTTATGCTGCTGGCAACAGTCCCCAGGTGGGCCTCCCACACCCGCCACCAGGCTTACTGAGTTCTGCTGGGGGTTATAAGTTGACCACCAGTTGTCAATCCACTACAAAGTCTTTCTGAAAAGATTCAGAAAGTATTTTCTTCAACTGGTAATTGAAGCATTTGTCTGTGGAAATGCTTCAGTCAAACTGCACTATCATCAGCAACCCCACCAACACTAGGATTTTAAAAGAAGATGAATTTTCACCTTCATTCCTATTAATCAGAAAGGAAAGCTTAATAATTCTGTGGAAACACCAACACTAGCAGTACCCCATGAGAGCAGAGCTAACCAAACATTACTGCTAGTCTAGAAAGTGAGCATCTATTTGGTAGATAACACTAATGATTATTTTCAGACATATCCTTCTCTACCTTAGGGGATCACACTCCTGCCCTTTTAACTAGGCACAGTTGCTGGACTAGTTCTGTCTAATGAAACCTAAGAGGATGTGACATTGCACATCTGGGCTATTAGCATTTCACTGCCAGTGGTAGAGCCTCTAGTCTACTCTTTTCCTGCCTTGGTGAACCCTAAGCTTCATGCTGAGCTGTAGCCATGATAAAATGGTAGGGTCTCCACCGGCCTGCTACCCTCCCACTTGATCATCCTGCCAGCCCATGATGGACACACACTGTGCAAGCAAACATACATCTTTGCTGTTTAAAGCCACTGGAGCTTAGGCCTTGTTTCCACAGCATACCTTAACTTGTCCTGACTGGTGCTTTTCACGGTCACAAATGCAGAGTATAACAGCCCCAGAAGCAAAATACCAGCTTACAATGATGAGAAATAAATGCTTCTGCATGTAATGTCAAGCTTAAAAAACTTTAAATACTAATATTTTTCAATTGGCAAATACAGATTACATGTATTTATTTTGTACATGTTGTTTTGAAATATAAATACATTATACAGTGACTACCTGCATATTAATATCTTAAATTACAAAATTGTAATATAGAAACTTAATTTTAAATTTTTATATTTTATGTACATCCTTTTATCTCAGAAAGTTATTATAAGCCAATGATATTCTGTTTCAGCCAAATTCTGATTTTGATCATGCAGCTCTTTTGCATTTAGCCAAAATATACATTTGGTACCTTTCTAAAAATAATATACTGCATAAAAATTATACGAATAAAAGCTTCGCTATGTGCGCTTTATTTAAAATAGCTATTTGATAGAAACCTGAAATAATTTGGAAATTAAGTCACAAATGTGTTCTTTGGAAAAATACCTTGATCTTCCAGAATGAGGCGTTCTTTGCTGCCTTTCTGTGCATCCTGCCATGGCTCTGCTGCTGCCACCAGCTGGCTTCCACAACTGCTAAATTCCAGCAAGCAGCAGGGTTCAGTTCAGTGCTTTGTTTTGACTGCTGGGTTCCTGATGAGAACACCAACTCAGCTGAATAACTAAATTTTTAGGCTGGGAACAGAAAAGCATAATCAACTCATTTCCTACATATTTTAGGTTATCAACTAGCCACACGGTAGCTGGCACTTGTCTCAGCAAGTGGTCCAAAACTTCATTCTAACAAAAGAGAAGCCATTTCAATACTTAAGTTAACATTATTCTCCCAGGGAAGAACACTGCTAAAAACTACAGAATCATTATATAAGAGCAAACAAAGGTCAGTCCTAACATCACTGTGTACTAATAGGTTTAGTGGAGTCTGAAGGTTTAATAACTTCAAAGGTACACATTCTATTTACCCAGAACATCTGAATATAAAATTATTTAAATTATTTCATGCTTATGTGGTTCTGTGAATTTTTGAACAGTAAGTGTATGTTAATTTTTTGTTTCAGACAACATTTCGCACCTTTTGTTAGGGGGATTAAAAGATTTAGAATTCAAAATTATTTTAAATTCACAAAATTAAGTAAGCATAAAAGAAAATTAAATAAGCTTGTAAGTTTGTCAAATTTATACTTTGGAGGGGGCTGGGGATTTAGCTCAGCGGCAAAAGCGCCTGCCTGGCAAGCGCAAGGTCGTGAGTTCGGTTCCCGGTACCGGAGAAAAACCAACAACAAAAAAAATTTATACTTTGGAAATTCTGAAATCTTAGCACAACACTAAGACTTTTGGGACACCTGTACATAGAAAACTATGGAGTCACATAATGCTTGAATATAAACTTTTATAACTTACAGCCTATGACCAATGAAAATTGAAAGCATCTGTAACAATACACACATATATTTGCACAGAGATAGAAAACTGAGTCATACGATTTTTGAAGCTGGGTAAACATGTCGCTAAGGGATTAAAACTGCAAGAAAGCTGTGATCAGCGAGGCAAACTGCCAGCAACACCTGTGATACAGGATCCTGGTGTACTATATTTCCACTTTAAAGGGGTTGAGGGTGCATTTGTTCTTAAAATAGTATTATAATTCTGGTATTTGGTATTAATATTACTATTGCTAATGATGCCTTTCCAGAAAAATTTAAACAAACAACTTTCAAAGATAAACACACTGTGAGAATGCAGCTGGGCTAAGGGTGCAGCTCAATGGTAAGGCACTTGTCTAGCATGCTGGATGTCCTGGGTTGCAGCACCACAAAACAAAACAAAACAAAACAGACAAGACAAGACAAAAAACAAAATGAGAAACACTCATGCAATAACTATAGCTTTCCTTCCTGTTAGAAATTATCTAGTTCAGCCAGGCGTGGTGGTGCAAGCCTGTAATCCCAGCACTCAGGAGGCTGAAGCAGGAGGACTGTTGCGAGTTCAAGGCCAGCCTGGGCTACAAAGTGAGCTCAAGGACAGCCTGAACTGCATAGGGAGACCCTGTCTCAAGAAAACAAAAGAGAAGGAGAGAGAGAGGGAGAGAGAGAGGGAGAGAGAGAGATTATCTAGTTTGATCGTTCTCAACCTTGGTTGTTCCGTGGAATGATCCAGGCATTTAAAAAGTATAGATGTGGGCAGGGGATATAACTCAACGGCATAAGTGCCTGTCTGGCAAGCACAAGGTCCTGAGTTCGATTTCTAGTACTCCTCCCCAAAAGTATAGATGCTTAGGTTCCACAGAGCTCTGATTTAATTGATTTAAGTTACAGAATTTTAAAGGCCTCTGATGACACCAATGCATAGCCGAGGTTGAAAACCATTGCTGCAGTTCAATATATAATCAAGTATATGGCAACATAAAAATATGTGCGGATGTTCATAACTCCAACTTTTAAGAGTAGGACTAATCTCAAACCCTGTAATGAAAGAGACTTTTAAAAAGAACCTAACTTGCCTGGTGTGCAGCACTCAGGAGCCTGAAGAAGGAGGATCACGGTGAGTTCAAAACCAGCCTGGGTTATATAGCAAGACCCTCTCTCAAAAAAAAAATAAATAAATAAACAAAAAAAACCTAATTTAACAACATGGCTAACTCTCAAAATTATTACAAGCGAAATAAACCTGACATAAACGTATGACTCTGTTTACATAAAGTTAAAAAAAAAAAGAAATCAGAATGGTGATGGGCTGGGGAGGATTGATTGGGAAGAAAATGAGAATCCCTCAGGTGGAAATGTTCTCCGTTTTGATTAGAGTACATGGATTACACATCTATCAGAATTCATCAACGTGGCCAGTTTTAGTCTGTATGATTTCGCTATGTTAAAAAGGTATGAACGTAATTAAATGTAGATACCTAGGGCGGAGTAGGGAAAGCACAGGCGATTAATTACTTCAGACGACCCTAAACTTGCTAGATTGAAAAGAACAGCAAACTCCAAATCAAAAGCTTAATCGCAGCACTCGGGAGGCTGAGGCAGGAGAATCGCTGAGAATTCGAGGCCAGCCTGAGCTACAAAGTGAGCTCAAGGCCAGCCTGAACTGCGCAGTGAGAGCCTGTCTAAAGAAAAAAAAGAAAAGAAAAAAACAGTGAGAAAAGGAGAGCAGACAGCAGGGAGGGCCAAAGCCTAAGAAATCGTCTGAGGGGCGGCACCCAAAACCAAACCGCACTCCTTAAGGCAGCGCTCAAGTGCCACAAGAAAATAAGCCCCTGCACCACTTTCCGGGACTTTCAGCTGTGCCCGTGTGTGCTCAACGGAAGGGTCCGGACGGAAACGTGGCCAATGCGGCAAAAGAACCGGAGACAACTTAGTTCCTGCGCAGATGCTGGGGCTATAAGGCGCCAGGACGACGGTCGGCCGTTTGCGGCTCGCAGTTCGCAGGACGCCGGTGCTCACCTTCTTTCCGCTGCCGCCATGATTCCGATGTCGCTGGTGGTCTTAGTGGTGGGTGGCTGGACTGCCGTCTACCTGGCCGATTTGGTGCTGAAGGTGAGGGCCTCGGGCCTAAGGCCCTGGCCGGCGGTGTCCAGGGCCGGAACGCAAGGTCCTCTGTCGCCAAAGGCTTTTTGTCCCCTGGCGGGCGCCTCCCGGGCTGGAAGCCGCCGTCGGCGCCCACGTGCGGCCTTCCGCGTGGCTCAGCGGCCCCGCGGAGCAAATAAAGCCCGGCCGGGGAGGGAGGGGTGTGGCTGCCCGCGGCTGCCGCACTGCGGGCCCGGATCCCCGCGGCCGTGGGCTCCGGCCCGGGAGGCGCGAGCGGGAGGTCTGGGAGGGCCGGGCCCTGCCGGCCGCCACGGCCGCGGTGTATCAGGAAGGAGAACGAAACGTCCGCTTAGGAAAGGCACTTTTCCCTTATTGTTTCAAGGTTACACCCTGCTACATACTTTGGTATTGGAACGAATCTAAATGAAGTCGTGATTAAGATCCTTGATCTCAAATTCAAAAGTGCAGACGGTCATCTGGGATTCCGGTTAAAATACAGGTTCCGATTCAGAAGGTCTGGGGCCAGGCGCTTCTAACCAGATCTCAGGTGAAACCGATGCTGCTAGTCCCACAGACCATTGTTCAAAGCAGCACAGTCAAGCAAGGAAGATTTAACCGGTTTCCTATTATTCGAATTCTGATTTGCACCCTGCACCTTCTTGTCACACACGCCCTAGGTACACTGTTTATTTTTCGGTTACTTGAGGATGTAGCAAAAAATAAGTAACAGCTGTCTGGTACACGTGCTCCACGTAACCTTTTGGAACTGAATACAGTACTGGGGAGTGGATGTAACTATATGTGTAAATTCTCAAAGTTTAATAAAAATAACAGGTATGATAGTAAAATTTTCATGTTGGGAATACGGTTTTAAGTAGAATGCTGTAGTATTGTGTGTTTTAGATATAACAAAGTATAACGGTATTTGTGTTTGTCATATTTAAATTTGCTAAGTGCAACAGTTTATACACGGTAAGGTGGATGTGGTGGCACACCTGAAATCTCAGCACTCGGGAGGCTGAGGCAGGAGGATTGCCAAGAGTTGGGGGCCAGCCTGGCCTACATAGCGAGTTCAAGGCCAGCCTGGACTACAGAATGAAACCCTGTCTCAAAACAAACAAACAAACAAAAGTTTATACAATATAGTCCTTAGGGCTGCAGTGATGACAAACCTATGGCATGTGTGCCTCAGCAGGCTGTTTGTATCATTGAAAGTTCTAAAAGATTCTCCATCCCTGGAACTTCTACCACTTCCCAGCCATTGTGACATTGGGTAAATTACTACCTGTACCTTGCTTTCTCATCTTTAAGTAGAGATAATAATAGGAAGGATTTCCTGAGATTATAGAGAGGAATGCATTAGTGGCATCCGCGAATGTAAAGGAGTGCTACCTGAGGTTCATGGACCATTAGCACTTGGATGATCAGAAAGCTTGTTGGAAAGAATTTGAGGCCTTGCTGCTGAGCTGCAGAATCAATCTGCATCTTAACAAGGTCACTAAGTGATGCCTCTGCACACTGGTGTTGAGAAGCACTGATGTAAAGGACTTGCTTAGCATGTCATAAGCAGTACAGGCCACAATAATTTTGTTTGTGGCATTAGAGGATTTGGGGATTGTTTTTGCAATGCTGGGGATTGAACACTGGGCTTCTGACATGCTACGGTGCCCTGCTATTAAGCTACATCCCCAATGTGATTTTGTTGTTTGAGGGAGGGAAAAAGAAGCCATATGGTTTCTTCATGTTGCATATGTAAAAAAATAATAACCCGTGAAACTTGTACAGTGTCTTGTTAAGTGTGTGAGGTGATCAAGATTTCACTAATTTCGGTGAGAGCCCCTAGCTCCCTCTGAGCACAATAATCCCTAAGCAATAGACCTAACACTCATTTAGAGTATCTCCTTGGGGTAATGGAAACTTTGGCTTTTAGGAGCCTGTTCCTTTGGCTTCTGTGCTTCTAGCTTGATCTGTTGTTCTACACTGGATTTTCTAGGATTTCTGCAGTAGACATCTGCTGGAGGAATGTGTCACTCTTTTTTCACATCTTGGAAAAGCAAGCAGATTTAAAAAGCTACCTGAAGACTGAGAGCAGAAAGCATTCCAGATCGAAAGCAAAGAGATATCTATATTCAGACTCCAGCCATTTTTTAAATGACTGATAGGCCTAGTATAGCCTTCCAAGGCAAATAAATTTCTCACATAGATGGGCATCATTTATGACAATGTGTACAGCACTTATGTAATTGTCAGGTATTTAACACAGCTTTGTGTTATGCACAATCCTATATTAGTCAAGGCCTTCATACTTCCTTAAAGATAAAACTCTCTGGCTATGTATAAGCAGCTACTCCTACAAGCCCCAGCAAGTTTAGGAGATTTTACCAAGACCAAAATGGCCTTAGGTAAATTTTGTCCTTTTGCTTGATCAAAGTTGGTATAACTTAGGACTTGCTTAGAGGAAGAAAGTGCTGACTTCAACTAGTCTTTTCTGTTGAACTGACTAGAGGTCTGTTAGAATTATAACACAGGGTTCGGTTCCCGGTACCGGAGAAAAACCAAAAAAAAAAAAAAAAAAAAAAAAAAAAAAGAATTATAACACAGGACCTCTTTCCTTTCTGTGACAGCAAGGTCACCTGCGCTGTCCAACACGGTAGTTACTGACTACATGTGCTTAGTGAGCATTTGAAATGGAGCTAGTCTGAATAAAGATGTGCTCTAAGTGTAATGTTGACTCCAGATTTCAAAGAATACCAAAACAAGGTATCTAAATAACTTTTTATGTTGATTACATGTTGAAATGATACATTGACTGTTTGGGGTCAAAATATGTGAAACTGAATCTTTAGTTTTTCTTTTTAAAATTTGGCTACTAGACAGTTTTAAGTCAACAAAATTCTTTTGTAAAAGATGGTGAGCCAGACATGTGGAGCACTCCTGTAATCCCAGCACTCGGGAGGCTGAGACAGGAGGATCTTGCGAGTTTGAGACCAGCCTGGGCTACAAAGTGAGCTTAAGGCCAGCCTGAACTGCACAGTGAGACCCTGTCTCAAAAAGACAAAAAAAAACTAGATAGTAAGTATTTTAGGCTTTGTGAATCATGCAGGATTTCTGTTGCATATTCTTGTTTTTTTAATTGTCTTTTTTTATAATCCTATAAAAACATAAAAACTATTCTTATCTCACAGCCTATAGGAAAACAAGCTGCAAGCTGCATTTGATCTGTGGGCCATGATTGCCAGACCCTACCCTGAGCACCCCAGCTAGTTTGAGACTTTCAGAACTCTAAAGAATAGATGTAAAGGTTTAAGATTATAAGCATTTGAATAATTAGTATCTTGATTTCTTGTAAAAAATACTTTTTTATTTCCTTGTACATTATAAATTGTTCTTCAAAATTGAGTGATGTGAAACTTTTCTTTCTGTCTTAGTCATCCGTCTATTTTAAGCATTCTTACGAAGACTGGCTGGAAAACAATGGATTGAGCATCTCCCCTTTCCACATAAGATGGCAAACTGCAGTTTTCAATCGTGCCTTTTATACTTGGGGGCGACGGAAAGCCAGGATGCTTTACCAGTGGTAGGCTTCATCTTCTCTTTTTGGTTTAAATTAGTCGTGAGAGCTTGTTACTTTAATCATTTCCATTATTTTTGATCTACTGGGTTTTAAAATAGTCACAGAGAAACTATTTTTTAGAAACATAGGAGTCTATCATTGTGCTTTTGATAACATTAAAGATACAGCATTTATGGTGTTTTATGGTTTGAGGTTTATGATGATCTCCGGAACACCTAAGATCCTGAAAGTCTCTGCAGTTGGAGAATGTGGGGTTGGTGGGTAACATGGTCTGAATTCCTCAAGCAGGTTAGAGCTAAATGTAAACGATAGATTATCAAAGAGTTTGCAGAAAATGCAACAACAAATCAAAGCATGCAAAGTAGAAAAAAAATAATAAAGAACAGAAACCAGTAAAATAGAAAGCATACAGTAAATTGGCAAAGCCAAAAGTTGATTTTTGAAAAGATTAATAAGATTAATAATCCTTACTACGAGCAATCAAGAAAAGAGGAAAAGACAGTAACTAAAAATCAGAATTCTGCCAGGTGTGGTGTCACACACCTGTAATGCCAGCATTGGGCAGGCTGAGGCAGCAAGATTGCCACAGCTTTGAGGGCTACATAGTTAGCTGAAGGCCAGCCTGAACCACATAGTAAAACCCTGTCTCAAAAAAAGAAACCAAACAAACAAAAAAAGCAGAATTTTATTGATATTAAGTAAATAATAATGAACCAGGCATGGCTGTGCATGCCTGTAACCCTAGCACTTGGAAGACTGAGGCAGGAGGATTGCCACAAATTCAAGGCCAGTCTGGGCTGCATAGTGAGTTCAAGGCCAGCCTGAACTACATAGTGAGACCCTGTTTCAAAAAATAAATACATACATACATACTCTGTTAGATGAACAATTCAACTATAAACCTGACAGTTTTGGTTTTTTTTGGTACCAGGAATCAAACTTAGGACCTCATGCCTGCTAGGCAGGCATTGTACCACTGAGCTAGATCCCCAGCCCAAACTTGCATATTTAAATGAAATAATTTCCTTGAAAAGCAATTTATTAAAAAATCAGAAAATGTGACAGATTATTCCTAACTATAGAAGGGTATTTTCTAATTATTAAAAGAATAAAAGAAAGGACCCACTATTAAATTTTGCCATATTAATATTTAAACTAATTTATTACATAGTAAAGCTAAAATATAGTGCAGACAATAGAATGAATAGATGATAAAAGATGGATATGTATAATGCCAAGAGTTTCCCAACTATTAGAGCAAGATCAAAACAATGCTATGTAAATAATCAAATACATAAAAGGAAACACATCTTTTTTCTTTTTTGGCAATGCTAGGAATCAAAGCCAGGGCCTCATGCATGCTATGCTATCACTAAGCTATATCCCCAGCCCAAAACACACTTTTTAAATTAGGAATGATGGGACCGGGGATGAAGCTCTGTGGCACAGCACCTGCCTGATAAGCACAAGGTCCTGATTTCAGTTCCTGGTACCAAAAAAAACAAAAGAGAAGCCTCTAGGCTGTGGATATAGCTCAGTAGCTCAGCACCTGCCTGGCAAGCATGAGGTCCTGAGTTCAATACCCAGTACCAAAAATAAAAATAAATTGGTAATGATATGCAGCCTCTTTAAGTACCAGATAATTATAATTTATTAAAACTGCTTAGACAACCTCGTGCCAGGCATTTGAAGTTCAGATAGAAAAAACATATTGAAATTTTTTAGCCCTTATTTTAAAACTATGGACGTGTGGCTCATCACTGAATTTGCATGCATTTACCAGATTTTTTTCCCTCTTGACAGGTTCAATTTTGGAATGGTGTTTGGCGTAATTGCCATGTTTAGCTCTTTTTTTCTTCTTGGAAAAACGCTGATACAGACTTTGGCACAGATGATGGCTGATTCTCCTTCTTATTCTTCCTCCTCTTCCTCCTCTTCCTCTTCTTCCTCCTCCTCATCCTCTTCTTCATCGTCTTCCTCTTCCTCCTCTCTTCACAACGAGCAGGTGCTGCAAGTTGTGGTAAGTCCCTTTGTGTTTTAAGTGACTTTGTTGAATACAGATACAAGATATTTTTTATGGCTAATATAACTACTACCCGTAATATAAACAGGAAAGTAGAAGTCCCACAGTTCTTCAAATTACCTGCTTCAGCAAAAAATATGAAGTAGTTAGCCAGAGTCATTGCAATAAATATTTGATGGTAGTATTGGTAGTTGTAGCAGAGAACAAATGGACCACTGTCAAGACTATTAACAAGCATAAGCTATTCAGCTTAATTCATGATGTCTTCTTAAGATGTTAAATGACTGTTTCTTTGAAAGAATGAACATGCTGATTTAAGATCTCTGTAATATGTAAGTAAATTGCATTTTAATCCTGCACAAAGTACCCTGTCATTTTCATGGCTTTCAGAGTCTAACTAAATCAATGATAAACTTTTGTTGTTGTTATTATTGTTTGTTTTTTGAGACAGGGTCTTGCTGTATAGTTCAGGCCGTCTTTGAACTCACTATGTGGCTGGCCTTGAACATTAAGTGATCCTCCTGCCTCAGCCTCTGGAGTGCTGGGATTACATGTGTGTGCCACCACACCCAGCTAATACCCTTTTAAATAAAGATATGAGACTGGGGCTAGGAGTGTAGCCTAGAGGTGCAGTGCTTGCTTTGCATGCATGCATAAGTCCCAAGGTTCGGTCCCCAACACTGGGGAGGGGAGAAGGTATGAAACCTTTCTGAATAGTCACTGTGATTTCTTGATGTAAAAAACAATGTGCTGAGTTATGCTCCTTTAACTGTAGACTATTTATAATAATTTTCATGTTAAAGTGCATATGTGGACCTATACCCTATCATTTCTTGTCTTCAGAATTTGGAAAGGGGCTTCACATTGGCTCACTCTGATATTTTTATGTTTATGTTCTCATTCCATGCATTATGGATGTTCTATTTTTAATCACACTCTTATTAATAGAATAGATTAAGAGTTAGTAACAGAGGGGGCTGGGGATTTAGCTCAGCGGCAAAGCGTCTGCCTGGCAAGCGCAAGGTCGTGAGTTCGGTTCCTGGTACCGGAGAAAAACCAAAAAAAAAAAAAAATAGAGTTAGTAACAGATTTTTTTACATGGTTTCTATGGCCTCTGCTATCCTGGGTTATTATGGGGTGATTTGGGAGAATGATAGAGAACAATGAAGAATGGTCATAGGTCTTTCTTAGAGATTAAAAAGGTTCACCAGGTGAGCCTATGGGGGATACGATTTATTTCTTATGCAAGTGTTTACTTGGTATAGTGCTTTTAGCTGTGTGCTGGGTCCCGCTTACGTGGGAACAGAATCCAGTCCTAGTATTCATGGTGCTTTCGGTTTGTAAGTAGAGCCACTACGATTGTGCTACACATGGGTGTCATACAAGGTGCTGTGGGAACAGAGAGGAGTACAAGTTGTGCCTGGCACTGGAAAGAAAAGTGCACTTCAGCAGAAGGATGAGGAGAGCCCACATAATCTGGAAAAGGAAGATGAAAATTGAGCATCCCAGTAGTAGAGGGAACGATATATGTAACGTGGACGTACAGTGCTTTGTGTGAGGTTTCTGCACCTGCATATTCACCTTCTTTTTTGTACATGTGTATAGTACATAGGTTTACATTTTTTGTGGGAGGTTGGTACATATACGTAACATTTTAATTCCTTTCTTCATCTCCCCTCCCTCCCCCGCACCCATCCCTTGATCCCCCGTATTTTTGGTATATGTTTGCATTACTTTATGTTTATAGTCCGTGTGTGGAGTTGGTCTACGTGCATAACACATCCCAGTTCTTTTTTCTCATCCTCTATCCCTCCCCTCCCTCTAGCTCTTGATCCCTTTCCCCTTTGAGAAAGATCTACCTCCCTACTTCCTATGATCTGTCTTTTATTTTACTCTACATTTACTCTGGGTTTGTCAAATAAGAGAAACCATGCAATATTTAAGTTTGTGTATGTAATTTATTTCACTTAACATTATGGTCCTGAAGTCATTATTTTATTCTTGTAACAATCTCAAGGTATTGGTGTTCTTCCTGACTTACAGATGAGAAAGTCAAAACAGAGACATTAAACCACTTGCATGTGGTCACAGCTGATAAATAGTGGATCTGTCATCACTGACCCTAGAACCTACATGGCATTATGTTTCACTCTTAAGAAAGACAAATAAGTTTTAAGGAAATATAAGTAATTTTGATCTGTGTCCATGCCATGTCAAATGGAAGGATGCATAGGAGTACTGGCAAGACAACAGGATAGCATAGGGCATAAGATGGGAGACCCTGTATAGGTAGAGCCTAGGTTATGAAGGACCATTCTAGAAGAAGTTTCAGTTTTACCCATAGATTAATAGTTTTTTTACAAAATAGACCAAAGATGGCTATATTGAAGATGGGGAGACTGTTTAGGAGGGCAGTTGGAGTAATTTGTGTCAGAAGTGATATGGATTTAAACTAAATTAGTGGTGGGGGGATGGATTCAAGTGATCTAATGAATAAAGTTCTGAGACATAGTGATTAAGTAAATGAGGCTCGAGGGAGGAGAACTTGAGGATGATTCTAAGATTACAGGCAGGACTAGTTGTTCACTCAGAAAGAACATGAGAGGGAAGAAAGAAATATAATCATTGCCATGTCTGTTAGGGTTAGAATGGCAAGATTAGAATTAGAATTAGGACTTATTTCTTCTCTTTGCTTTTCAGTTTATTCATTATGCTCACAAAAATATTGACTCTACTAAGCCAGGCTGTGCTTTGGAATTGGTACGAAGTCAGCAGCCCTCTGGTCCGTGTGCATATTTATGTATAATTTTTTAAAATTTATTAGTACATGTGTGTATTCCATAATGTTTACATTTCTTGTAGGAAGCTGGTGCACATACGTAACTCATCTTAATCCCTTTTTTGATCCCTTTCCCTTCCTCCCCTCCCCGCTCCACCCATCTTTTGAGCTCCTTCTTTTCTTTTTTGGACATGTTTGCAGTACAGAATGCTTACATTCCTTGTGTGGAGTTAATATAACTTAAGAAAGTTATTTCTCCCGACTTCGATATGCCCTTGTATCTTAACGAATATATATTCTATTTACTTTATGGTTCTCTGCAACCTTGTTCAGCATTAATTCCCCAAATCCTGGCAGTCTGCGTTGTTGAAAGTAGTTGTATTCACTATTCTGGTACATCTAATACCCTGTGTCATCATGGCAGAGACAGATGGGTGATCTTGTACTGTTGCCAGCAAATAAGGCCTACCATCTGTTGGTATAGTCACACTCAGATTCTTTCCTCGTCTCACTCATTATTACATCCAGATAATAATAAAGGGAAGGAACAAATATTTGAGTGGATAAAGCTTACTTATTTATTTGATATCAAGTAAGGTACCAGGATATTTTGTAAGATAAGCAGTATATAGGAGCAGTAATCTTAGGGATATAAATTTAGAGAAGACTCAGAGAAAAGAATACTGAGCCAAACAGATGCCTGAAAACATAGGAATGGAGCATGTACGTAGAAAAAGAGAGACTGATATTGTGCAGAAGTTGTCAGTGGAGTTTGCGTAATGAGAATTTCAGGTGGTGAGATATTGTGCGTACATTAAGATTGACGGTTATGAAAATAGTTTCATAGCCAGAGAACAGACCCTTGGAATCAGTGGGATTCAGAAAATGATCCAAGCAGCATTCTGTGAGTCTCCTCTTCAGAAGGAGCTTTAAAAGGTGAAATTCCTCTGCTGTACAGCACAACAATAAATTCCAGTTGAGTTAGAATTAAAAGTTTAAATCATAAAAGACCTTGCAGGTTGTTGGTTCCATGAACACAGTATAATGCAAACGGCTGGGATAGGAGGAACTAAGGGTGTGATTCTCCCACACTGATCAGGTGCTTTATTGTATAGTAGCTTGCTTTACCACTTGTCCTATACCTTGAGAATACTGAAACAAAACTGACTGATTTGGGAAGTGTTTTCCCTGTCTAATTCAGCAGAAGTACTTGGAACTTTGCAGTCACAATTCAGAGGAAGGACTAGAAATTTTAATAAGAATTCTCAAATCAGGCATCCGGCCCTTGAAGGTGGATCAGCCGCTGTCTCCCTCACTGGCGCGTGCTGGGCCCCCTTATTCTTTCCAGTGCTGAGCACACCAGGAAGCTGGAATTAAAACTTTGAACCTGGTGTTTCCTAGTCTCTCTATGTTGGTTGTGTACTTGTTTGAGAGAAACTGCCTAGTTAAAAAGAAAAAGTGATGTTTTCGCTTTTTTATTAGGGTAGAAATGTCTCAAGAGTTGAATCGTTAATAGTCGTAGTACTCTCAGTTTACAGGACATTTAACTTGGCGCTTTAAACTTTACTACAAAGTGAATACTATGTCTTGGTGCCCAACTGTGGCTCCCCTGCACCCCTCCTGATAATTGCTGCCATATTGTGTCCATGAACAGGTTCCTGGTATAAATTTACCTGTCAATCAACTGACCTATTTCTTCGCCGCAGTCCTCATTAGTGGTGTTGTACATGAAATTGGACATGGAATAGCAGCTATTAGGTAATGATATTTACCTTGTTCTTTTCTACTACATGCAGAGATGCTACTAAAAGGGTTTAGTATTAAAATCTGCTATATCTGATAACTATTTTTCTTTCTGGGGTATTACCCAGTGCATATCGTGTATGACTTGGAAACTTCTCCTTAATAGAGAAGCCAATGTTTTGATGAATTTGCTCAATTAACCATGTATACTTCTCTAAACTAAGTATTTCTGTCCCTTGCCTTTCACCAGTATGGTTACACCTTCATGGTGCGTCAGTATTTTTCGTCCAGCTTTGAAAGCTAATCTTTCTGTTCATCATTGGGTTGGAATAATATCCGCCGTACTCAGCACCCTCTCCTTTGTACCTTAGTACTTTTTTCAGCCTATCAGCTGAAATAATTTCCTGCTTCTGTTCATGTGCTATGGCTAGAGCAAGAAAACTAAAGCACTGGCTTTAATAATTATCATAGCCTATCTAGTACCAAATGGAAGAGGATGAGGCCTAGCACTTACACTGAGTGTCCTGTCCTGTTGGTGATCTTGACAACTCAAATGTAACTTTCTAATTATACCCGAGCATGTAACAGCCTATGAAACTCATAAAGTCATGATAGAAAGGAGCACGTCACAGCTCTTCCTGCCGCCCCGTTGATACGTACTGCATACTCAGAAGCATGCTCACAGGAATGTGTTTTATCCTTCCAGTGCATGGGCCGGAGAAAAGGAGAGCCACTGTTTTAGAGAAGACAGTGTAATTGCTTTTTCTTACTCTCCAGTTTTTATGAACAAGAGTCTATTGACTGGCAGTAAAAGCTCATTTTGACTGAGCATATACTGTTACACAGGAGTGCACAGTAGTGATCAAAAGGGGAGGCTGCCTTTTTTATCCAAATTCCCTTCACCTTTGCACCTATATTTTTAGCTTTTAAGGTTTTACATATAGCAGTACTGATATTAACAGTTTAATAATTTACAGTGTATTTATGAAATTATAAGTAACTTTTAATAAAATCCCTGTTGCCAACAAAAAATAGATTGTATAATTATCTTATAGATTTGATATTGACTGCACAATATTTTAAGGTGATACCTTTGTTTAGAGAAGCTATTTGGTCTTATGATACTATTAAATATAATGTACGTTTTCAGAAAATGAAATGATAAAATAGTTCTATTAAGGATAGTCTGAGCATTATACATTTTAAAATATACTTACCTTAATGTTAATTCAACAGAAAGACCCTTAGCTAAATTCCCACCATCATTCATAATGGCTAACACAAATATACTTTAGATAACTCATTTGAATTATATATTCTCCTGTGTCCTTCTCTGAAAATAGTTCATAGTAGACCATAAAAATATTTATCATTTAGTTTCACATAGAATTATTAACAATTTTTATATATTTGACTAATTTCAGTTATTTGTTCAGCATATTGGCTTCTTAAATGTTGACGTTATGTTTCAGAATGGCCTTATTAGCCTTATTTTATAAAATTTAATTTCACAGATAACCAAATCTGTACAACACTATTATAAAACTATAAACTTATATATTAATTATTTAGGGAGACTATTTCTTAAGCAAGAATTTGAATTACAGTGAATTTTAATATTACCTACATTATTTATTTGACAAATGCAATAAATAGCATTAGTAAATTCCTTTCTCTTGTGTGATTTCTTAGGGAACAAGTTCGATTTAATGGCTTTGGGATTTTTCTCTTCATTATATATCCTGGAGCATTTGTTGATCTGTTCACCACCCATTTACAACTTATATCACCAGTCCAGCAGCTAAGGATATTTTGTGCAGGTAACAGATTTTTTTTAATGTTCATCTGTGGTTTTGGTTTTCTGTGATTAGTGTTTTTATGAAAAGTTCTTATATTAAAAATATTATTCTTTGGTTAGCAGACTCCCTCAAAAGTAGTATATATAGTAAAACAGTTTACATAACAATTCCTTCTTTAAAACAAACTAAAAATAACACAAATTTTTAAAAAATAACAGAGAAGAAAAGATTTCACTTTTACTATAGCAAAAATATGACCAAAACCTGAAACTACAAACTATGGAAAACATCATGTCAGTTGAAATATATGGAAATTTGCTCAAATCAAGGGAGAATATAAAAGTATCAGCCAAGAGGTAAAACAAACTAATTGAGAAATGAAGAAGAGATGGTATGTAGGGATGAGTAGTGAACTCTAGATTGTCAGAATTCATTCGGAGAAACAGAATTACTTGAAGATACATAGCTGTGTACAGAAGAAATGTTAGGAACACAGGTCTGTCTGACCTAATTGTTATAAGACAAATCCGTCACAACCCTGCATCTCTTTCAGTGGAATAACTTAGGCTAGTGGTGGCAAACGTGTAGTACGCATGCCACAGGGGGCTATTTGTATTATTGAAAGCTCTGAAAGGTTCGCCATCACTGACGAACTAAGGAAGTGTAGACTGGAACTCTTGAACACACTTGAGTGTAAGACACTAACCAAAGAACTGGAGGTGGAAAAAGTAAAACCAGGAAGTCAAAGTAATAATTTCTTCCACTTAATAGGAAGTCTGTCTGAAGTTGATAGATCAGAAATAGGCAAGAGTGTATTATTTATAAACACTACATGATCTAAAAACATATAAACCTTCCAGGTTATCAAAGTAAAACCATGAAACAGACCAAAGAAACAGATCATAAAGCAAAAATAAAACAATATAACCACCCTAAAAGATTTAAGAGCCATTTTATTTGGTCAATATATAAATGAGATAAGCTCTTCTATGAAAAAAAAAAATGCTGGGCAGGGGTATAGCTAAATGGTAGAATGCTTGCCTAGCATGGGTGAGACCCTGGGTTTGATCCTCAGCGCTGTAAAAAAGTAAAAAGAAAAGAAAAATGCCCTTAGTTTGGATTAAAAACATCCTAAATTTGTGATGTATAAAAGAAATCCATCTAAAAAATGCTCGAAAAGATGGAAAGTGAAATGATGAGCAGACTATACCACGAAAAAAGGAGCAGGAATAAAAAATGTATGTTAGACCTGGGGAGTCACTTAATAAGGAGTGTGAGCTATCGTTAAAATGTAATGGTTATGAATATTACTTGTCTCAAGTAAAAAAGACATCAAAACACAAAAGTGGAAAAAGTTCCAGCAGAAACAAATTTAGCGAAGGTACTTGTCTCTTGAAACATGGAAGATAAGCACAAAAAGTCAGGCCGCAGAAACTGTGGTTAGTGAAGTAAAAAGAGTTAAGTTAAACTCTATACTATCAATACAGAAATCAGTTTTAAGTGCCCATGAAACTCACAAGAAATGAGTCCTGAGTTCGATTTCTGATACAAAAACAATTAAAAGTAGAAAAAAATAAACTACATAGCAAAACCCTTCTCAAAAATAAAATAGTCAAGAAATAATGAAGTAATAAAGATATAGGCAGAAAATGATAAATTAGGGGAAAGCAAAGTAGAACTGTTAATTCCAAGAGTTCTTTGAAGGAAAAAAAAAGATTAAACAGTGAGAGGAAACATCTGTAGTCAAACTTAGCTGATAGAGAAAATCAGAACAATTTTAAGTGTTTCTGGATCATCTCTGTAAAGCAAAATTTCAAAAACCTAAGTATTAAAAAAAAACCCCGAGACTAACTCCAAAAGATATAGGAAAAGAAAATCTAACTAGATCAGTAGTTACAATGGGAAAAATAAAGAAAAAGCTAACTAGGCCAGTAACTACAATGGGGGAAATAAGATAAAAAAACTAGGCCAATCATTACAGTGGGAAAAATAACGAAAATTGATGAAGAATGCCCCTGAAATTTTCATAGGTAGAGTTGTTTCAAGTCTTCAATGAAGACTGGGGATGTAGCTCAGTGGCACAAGCACTTGCCTAGCAAGTGTAAGGTCGTGAGTACAATTCCTAGTACCCCCAAAAAAAATCTTGAATGAAAATATGTTCTTTTAAATTCCAATTTAAGCCAGATGGGGTGGTGCATGCTTGTAATCCCAGCACTCTGGGAGGCTGAGGTGGAAGGATCGCCATGAGTTTGAAGCCAGCCTGAGCTACATAGCGAGACTGTCTTTAAAAAAAAAAAAAAAAAAAAAAAAAGGCCACTTTTGCATAACCTTCCATCCCTTCTTGGCCTTTTTGTTAAGATCAAGTGTAGCATAATCTTCCAGATAGCATGGAGAAGGAAACTAACATTTTTTTTTTCAGTACTAAGAATTGAAGCCAGGGCCATCACACTGAACTACATCCCCAACCCTATATATTTATTTTATTTTATTTTATTTTATTTTATGAGGGTTTTTTTTTTTTTTTTTTGAGACAGGGCCTTGCTAATTCTCTAAGTTACCTAGGCTGAGCTCAAACTTTCGATCCTCCTGCCTTTACCTCCCAGAGTGCTGAGATTACAGGCCTTCACTATCGTGCCTAAATAACATTTTTTAGTCAATATGACACTGATTGATACATCTTTTGTGTTAAAGCAGAAAAAAACCTGCAGATATGTGCTGTAGCTCAACAATGCAAGGACAGCTTAATATTGGGAAATTATTTGAATGTGATAAATATTTGACGTTAGAGGGGAAAAATCGTCACCTCAGAATAGGAGACAGTATTTAGAAATTTATAATGGTTTTTAATAAATCGCTAGTAAAAGGAGGGATAGCTGGGTCTCTCTTAATGGTATAACATTTAGTAGCACTCCTGTACAGGGGTAAGATAAGTAATCCTGCCATCAACTATTACTGATATTAAATGTTGGTCTGTAAACATGGTTTGGTGAACTTAAATAAGAAAAAATAGATAAATGTAAATATATAAAAGCCATAGACTTTTTTTCACATACTATAATAAGCCTTGCTAGGGGGTGAAATACAGAAAATTTGAGTAAAGAATCTGGTTGTAAAACTAATAGTCAGTCAACAACCAACTAGGTGGTGCCTGCAGTGAGTGTCTCGAGCACACAAGCACGGCACCACGTGGGTACAGGCGTGAGTATGTATGCGGAACGCACCCTGCTAGGTGGCAGAAAGCGCTTGCGTGAGGTACCCGGGCGCACGCGTGAAGGGCCCACGCCTTTGTGCTTGGTGCCGAGGTGCACGTGCTTCCGCCGAGGCGCATGCGCTTGCCGCCGAGGCGCATGCGCTTGGTGCTCAGGCGCATGCGCTTGCCGCCGAGGCGCATGCGCTTGGTGCCCAGGCGCATACGTTTGTCGCATTCACCCACACCTTTCTGGAGTTCGCACGGTCACGAAGTGCGGATTCTCTTCAGGCCCACGCATTTGTGTGGAGTTGGGGCTTTTCGCTCCTCAGTCTTTCTTCACGGCTGGTGAGCACCTGCCGGCTGGCAGGCGTCGAGACCACCGCGAAAGCATCAGTCATGGCCTCGGACGGCTTCGTGTACCTCACGGAGGAGTCGGCCTTGCCCGCGGAATTGCTCGAGCTGCAGCAGGTAGAGAGAGAGGCTGGCAGGGAGGCCGCGGCGGGCGCGGAGGCTGCGGCGGGCGCGCCGGCTGAGTGGTACCAGCAGAGCGGCAACAGCTGGGTGCACGGCGGCTACGAGTACTCGCCTCTGTTCGCGCTGCAGCCGGTCGCCAGCAGCAGCATGGGCTACGGCGACCACGACCAGGCGGTGGTCGTGGTGCAGACGGAGGAGGAGGTGGTGGGCTACTTGGACAGCGAGCACGCGGGCGGGGAGCGCGGCGCCCTCGCGGGGGACGGCGGGAACGGGTACTTCCATGGCGAGCCCGGCTGTCTGCCGTGGGTCTGCCTTCCCGGCGTCGGCGGGGAGGCCGC